AATCAATTTGGGGATAGTTTTTATGTATGTTTAGAGATACAGGTGTAGGGTTTTAATTCATTTTTTTGCCTTTGGCTCTTCAATTGTTCTGGTACTGTCTATTAAAGAGACTACCTCTCTTTTCTTTAATTGCTGTAGCATACTTGGTGAAATCAACTGATCATACATCAGTGGGTCTTTCCCAGACTCTTCATTCCATTCCATATCTATCTTTATGCCAATACCACAGTGCTTTGATCATATCTTCATAAAAGTTCTAGGAATCATGTTGAGCAAGATCTTCCATTTTATTCTTTTCCAAAACTATTTAGGGTACAATAGGTCTTTTTATTTTTACAAAAAACAAATATTCAAAACAAACTGTCAATCACAACGAAAAGATTCTGTAGAGGCTTTGACTGGCAGTGCTTTGAATCTTTTGACTAATTTGGGAAGAATTAGCGTCTTAACAACGCTGGATCTCCTGATACATGAACACGGTACATCTTTCAGGTCATCTTTCTGTTTATTTGGCTCTTCTTTAATTTTACTCATCAAAGCTTTGGGGTTTTCAATGTATACAAAAGTGTTACATATCTTTTTTTGCCAATTTCATCCTGATAGGTGGTCTTTCTATTACTGCAAAGAGTACTTTTTAATTTCAATTTTCAGTAGCTGGTTCCAGAATATGTATCATTTTTACATATTTACCTTGCATCCCACAACCTTGCTAAACTTAAAGGTTCTTACTAGCTCTAAATATTTTGGTAGATTCCTTAAGACAATGAAAACAGATGATCATATCCTCTGCAAATAAAGACAAGCTTCCTTCTTCCTTTCCAATCTGTATGCCTTATTTCTTTTACTGAACTTGTGCTAGCTAGTGCAATGCTGGACAGGAGTAGTGAGTGTGGACCTCAGTGCCTTATTTCTGATTCTCAGGGGGAAAGCAGTTGGTCCTTTGCTATTATGTTACAGCTTTTTCACAGATGCCCTTTATCTGGTTGAGATGGCCCATTACTCTAATCCTGACTTGCTGAAAGCTTTTATCATTACTGGATGTTGACTTTTGTCTAATGCCTTTTCTGTGTCTACTGAGAATATCATGTAACTTTTACTAGTCTATTAAAATGATAAATAACATTTTTTAATTCAACCTTATATTCCTAGAATAAACCTTACCCTTTTATATTTTGTTGAACTTTATTTCCTAATATCTTGTTAAGAAGTTTTGGGTCTATGGTGAGGAAGGAAATTTATCTACACATTTTCTGTATTATGCTTTATTATCCTTCTTAGCTTTTATCATCAGGCAATGCTGGTCTCAGGAAGCTCAGGGACATATTCCTACCTCTTCTATTTTCTGGAAGAGTTTACATAGAGTGGGTATTCTTTCTTTCTTAAATATTTATTAGATTTCAGCAGTGAATTCTAGGAGCTCTCTTCTTGGGAAAGTTAGTAACAAATTCAAATTCTTTAATAGAAAGTATAGGTTATAGACTACTTCTTCTTGAATGAGCTTTGGTGGTTTGAATCTTTCAAGGAATTCTTATATCTCACCTAAGTTGTTGAATTTATGAGCATAGAGCTGTTAAAAATATTCTATTATGGGGCGCCTGGGTGGCTCAGTGGGTTAAAGCCTCTGTCTTCGGCTCAGGTCATGATCCCAGGGTCCTGGGATCGAGCCCCACATCAGGCTCTCTGCTCTGTGGGGAGCCTGCTTCCTCCTCTCTCTCTCTCTGCCTGCCTCTCTGCCTACTTGTGATCTCTGTCTGTCAAATAAGTAAATAAAATCTAAAAAAAAAAATTCTAAAAAAAAAAATCCTATTATGCTTTTAACATCTGTAGAAACTGTAGTGATGTCTCTTGTCTTATTCCTGATACTGATAACTTCACACTTCTCTCTTTATTTGCTTATCATTCTTTTGGACTATTTAAGTAAAGGTTGTATTTCCCTCTTATGTCTTATATATTGGCTCATTACACATACCTCTGTGGTATTTTAACTTTATTTTTATTGGTTGCTTTAGGATTTATAGTACACATCTTTAACTTACTACAGCCTACCTTTAAAAAACAATAAATATTAGGTGATATTCATAAAACTCCAATAATACTAATAAAACTTCACATATAGCACAAAATCTTAGAACACCGTACTTTCATTTCCACTTGCTAAATGAATAAAAAAGGACAAGGGGAAGAATAAACTTCGGAGTTAAAAATCTCTGCTTAAAAAAAAAAAAGCATATATTCTCTTATCATACAAATTAACAGTATTAAATTAGGGATACTGAAGGAGAATTCCAAGATACTAGAGATTCAGGATACATGCGGCCCCCTTGTACTGACAAGAAAATCAGCAGGAAATGATTTCCATTTGTGAGTGCGGCTAATAAAAGTCGGATTTAAGTGACGCTAGAGATGAGGAGGTAGGGCGGTTCCATCCCAGTACGTGATAAGCCTTCAGAGACGAGTATGTGGAGTTCAGTGCTCACAAAGCTGCTAAGTGCCCCTTGTGACAAAGCCGACCCTGCCACTGCACGATAGCATGCACAAACTACTCAGTGGCGGAGGAGGTGGGGAGAGCACTGATGCAGGAGACACAGCGCCAGGACTGCAGAATGGGCTCCGCCTCTTTATGGGACAGCCTCTCCTTTCAGCTTTAGCTTTCTGACCTAAGTGAAGGGACATGATGAGAGCAGAGTGCAAAAGTGCTCGGAACTAGGAAAATGTTACATAAAACATAAGGTATTACTTTATTCTAGTGGAAAAATGCAAATCACTCACTGTTAATAATTATCATAAGGTAAAATAGTTGAAAAATAAGGTAAAATAGTTTAAAGCGCTATTTCCATGAAGGTAGATACATTTTAAAAGAGGAAGCCTTTAAGAAAAGTTGGAGGTTCCCCAAACATTCCATAAGAATGAACATCTTCTCTTTTCCCCCAAGATTTACAGACCAGTGATGGAGGTGGTCACAGTGATGAGTGAAGTGGGGAGGGCTGGAAGGTGATGCAGCAGGTGCTTCTGCCAGTTTCTATGGGAATTCTGACTACATGATGTGTTTCTAGTACACTGGCGTGCATCAGAGCCATCTGAAGGGACTGATACAATGCAGACTGCAGGGAACACGAGTGTGAGTCACACAGGCAGGGGTGGGTCCCAAGAACGCATGCTACCAAGTTCTCAGGTGAGGTGGACGTTCCTGCTCTGAAGACCACACTTGGAGAATCAATAACCAAGGCCATGGCACAGAAAAGAGTGAAAGGAGAAAACTGCGCAGCAGGGAGAGCCTAGCTCTTACACATCCTGATGCTCCACAGTGAAGCTCTACACGCGTATCTGAACAGAGTGCATATTTGGAAGATGAAATGATTTTGTACTGTATCTTTTCAATTCTTATCTTTTAACTTGTAATTTACAGCCTGTATCCTAATATGTAAAAGAAGAGTAACAATATTTAGCAGTACTGTTCTCTTTAACAAATTATAATTGTGACTTTTTACAAAAAAAAGTTTTAGAGGATTACCAGAAACATAGAAGTAAAAAAGTTGTAATTCTAAGAAAATTCTTACTCCAGTCATGTCAGACACCATGAGAAAATGTCATGTACTGAACTATTTCCTACATTACATTAAATCATATCACTGAATACAGAACTTGTTGCATTCAAATGTAATAAAACATTAAATTTTTACCTTGAAATGAATGGGATAATACTAGATTCACAATTTTTGGTAAAACTCATTGGAAAATAAATGTCAGAAACTATTTTATGGCTCTTGTCTTTGTGAAGGTCAGCCTAATCTCATCTGAGTCTCATCCTATCGGACACGAGGAAACATCTCTAGAGACACTCTCTGGGGTATAATATAAATGTGCTTTGCAAAACATGCTTTCATCCTTGGAAAGAATTTTAGCCAATTTGTTTTCATGCAAATTATAAAAATACTTCAAAAACTGATATTTTAGAGGCTCTATTTCTCAATTCAAAGTGTAATATAGAGAGGCACCTACATAAACACCAGAGTATGCCTTTCTGCCTATGCAGAAAAGAGACGAGTATCTCAGTGGACTGAATGCTTGTGTTCCCCCCCAAATCCGTATGCGGAAGCCTAATCCCCTAGTGATGGTACTTGGAGACAAGACTTTGGGGAGGTAACAGGTCGTAAGGGTGGAGCCCTCCTGATGGGGCTAATGCCCTCCTAAGAAGGGACCAGAAAGAGGCTGATTCCTCTGTCCTTCCTCTGTGCTACGTGACGACACAGCAGAACGAGGTCCCTGAGCAAACCAGGAAGTGGTTTGATTATTCAGCAAGAGACATGTTTCTTTCTTTCTTCTGCCAAACGTACCTTGACCTTGCACGGGGTGACGATCCCCCTAGTCCAGAGTACACCGCATTACGGATGGAGCTGAACCCATCCTAGCTGTGTGGATACATATTCAGCTAAAGCCCTAGCCAATGAGAACTTGCAAATCCTGCACAGAGAATGGTCAAGGGACCAGGCATCAAACACTAGCTACTCAGTTTGGATTAAAGCTAATCCCAAGATTTTTGCCTGAGTCACCAGGAAAAAGGTGTTCTTTCTGTTGGACTTGGAGCGCAGAGACAGTAAGACTCAGCCTGAGAGGACAGCATCATGTATAGACGACCTGCCCCGAGGTGAAATCAACACGGAGGGCACAAACCTATACACATATACGTCCACATATACCTACACACAGAAATACATCTACATATATGCATACTCACATACAACATGACCAGACAGGCAGATAAATAACATCCTAAGATCCTCATGACAATCTGAAGCTCCTGCATCAGGCGGCCTTAATGCCGGCTACCCGGCTACCCCTGGACCCTTCCATTCCATCAGTCACGTAATTGCTATCTGCCTTTAGGTAGTTTACCTTGGGTTTTCTGTTACTGTTAACTGTAAGACTTGAAAAATGTATACATAATGAAAGAGTCACTTCCAGTAATGAAATAAAAACATATATATTTAATTTTGGCTTACCTTTTGGTTTAATAAGGCACTTGCCAATTTCTGTACTTCCAAACTCAGTAAAGTGGTTCCTCTGATGACTTTGCTGAGAGCGGCAAGAGACTGATGAATGCTTTGGACTAAGCGAATGGCATTAAACTGCTCCAGAATGATGAATGACAATATTGGAGATCCTTGTTGATCATTAGGAGGAGACACCTTCTGATGAATCAGGTTTGAATTCTAGAAGAAGAATATGTCAGGTCATACTTACTGAAAAGCAGCACAAACCACTGAAACCAAACACTCCAAAGGTTACGAAAATTCCTTGCTGTCCCACTCTGTTTTGAAATACTGTTGTTTTCTGGTGGCCAAGTTTATCACATTGGTGAATACACAGGAAGGGAATTCGGGAGTTCCCTACCATTTGAAATGGTATGGGGGTGGGAACTGAGAATGGGGGAGCCACACTTGAGAGGCAGCAGTCAATATGGTCGGAAGGATGGCAGGAATGGCATCTGTAAGCCAATGCAGAGAGCAGAACAGCTACACCATGAATGAGAGAAGAAATTATGGCTTTGAAATAAAATGTGAATGCTCATTTAATCCAATCTGAAAATTCCTCACATGTACATTACAGACGCACACTACGCATGTTTTGCCCAAGATCAGGGGTTATTACGTCTTATTACAACTTCGCGTTCATTTCTCCATCTATACTTTAACAGGGTTTCTGACACCGGGATTTCTAGGATTTCTCAAATTAGTAGGAAAAATTCAAGGAACAGGAATTGTATCTGAAGAGCTCATATAATTAAGAGGGAAAAAAATTACCTCCAATAATATTCTAAATGTGCCAAAATACAATCAAGAGATAAGCTCCGGGAGTCCCTTTCTCTTACCTACTATACATCATCCTAACTTTCTTTATATGTTCTGCTTACAGGCCTGGTTAAGGATCCCTTCTTTTTGCTCTAGTGCTGGCCACATTCATATATCCCACGAGAGCATTGTCTTTTTCACCTGTTGAGCATGATAAGTAATTTAATGACATGATGATCTAGCGTGGCTATTGCCATTAAATGAATCACCATTAAATAAATTTTACTGGCTTAAGAGTATAAGATTCTACCTGAAGACAGATTTAGACTAAGACCTCAAATTCATACATTTTTGTTTCTATTATTGCTATACAGGCAAACCTCAGAGATACTGTGGGTTCAGGTCCTCACAACCACAATAAAGCAAGTATTACAATAAGTCAGTCAAATGAAATTTTGGTTCCCAGTGCCTGTAGAAGTTATATTTATGCTGTACTGTAGTCTCTTAATTGTGCAATAGCATTGTCTAAAAAAAAAAAAAGTATACAGATTAATTAAAAAACGCTTCATTGTCAAATTTGCTGACACCATCTGCGCTGGCTGTGGGTCCTGAGCTCCGGGCGGGCGGGGGTCCCCCCGCAGTGCTGAGGGCGCCTCTGGGCCGGGCTGCGGGCTGCAGAAGGCCGGGCAGCCGCGGCGGGCTCCCAAGACAACCAGGCAGTGGCTGCGCGGATCCGCTCTCCCGTCAGGATCGAGTTCCTTCCTGCAGCCCCGGAGGCCGGCCGAGCGCCTTCTGCCACAGGAGAACTTCTTTCCAGACGGGGGTCCCCCCGCTCAGACCCGGCGCGGCTCCATCAGCAGAGCCGACGTGACACTGAGCCCCCTGCTGCCGTTTCAACCATCTTCGCGGCACCTTCCCCGGGAGGTTCCAGCCGGAGAAACCACCGTCTCTGCCCAGCCCCGAGCAGCACCTCCTCCTCCTCCGAGTTTGCTCGCGAGACGGCCGCCGCCCGGCCCGTGTCCAGGCCCCGCGTCTGACTCGAGCGCCCTCGCTGTGCCCACCCGGTCTGCAGCCGCCTCCCGCCCCGAGCTCCTGACCCCTCCGAGTCTTCCCGAGGGTGGGAACCGACATCGCCACGGAGTCCCGCCCCGGCCGCCGCTCTGCTGTACATCTGATGGCTCGTGAGCCACGACGCTCTTTACCGCATCGAGAACGGGGAATCCCTTCCCCTTCCTCCGCCCAGACCCGCGAGAGGAGCCACCACCCACGGCAGCTGCCGCTCTACAAAACCCATGTCCCTCGGAACTCTGGGGTGACCCGATGCCCTGTGCACGAGCGGTAACATTTGCCACGGAACCTTCTCATGCAGCAGGAGGTCTCCCCGGCGGCCTTAAGAGACTCTGTGCACCCCTGTGTCAACAGCTGTGGCCTCACGCGGGCTTCGCTGTCCCACTTGCAGGGCGCAGGCGGAGCTGACTGAGTGTCCTCTGTGCGGAGGCCCGCAGAATTTTGGGACCGGGCAGCGGCAGCGGCTGTGACTCAAAGTGACCAGCTGCATTAATTAAGCAGACATACTTGGGTGAGAGATTTTCCACCACTCTTGGATCCATAATCCAAGAAAACAGCTCACTGTACTAAACTTGCTAGGAGGGTGATTTAGGAGAGCATAAAAATGCTTAAAATTCAAACAGGGTTCACACAGGGACTGCGGTTTACAGACATGCAGTACGTGTAAAATGCAAACTGAATTTCAGAGACTTAATATGAAAAAAGAATGTAAAATATCACATGAATAATTTTCTCTACTGACCACGTGTCGAAATGCTGATGTTCTGGATCTACTGGTGACATAAAATATATTAAAATTAAGTTTCCACTTGCACTTACTACAGATGCCATCTACACTGCCATCTGGTTTCACGTCCTACTCCCAGCACACAGTCCTGCTCTGGAGACTAGCAAGTAAAATGCTGTGTGTCAGCAGTAAGAACAAAAGAACAGAAAAAAATAGACAGCATGGTCTCAAAAGTGACTAATAAGAGATGAAAAAGCATCGGAAGGCAAAAAAGAAGAAGGCAGAATGCACTCTATGAGCTGAGGGAGGTCAGTCTGCCGGCGGAGCCGTGTAAGACGGCAGGAGGCTGCGCGGCACGCTGTAGTCTGGACGGTGACACAGTCCACCTCAGCGCCTCCGCAAACTTTTCATAAAAAATCACATCAAAATAACTAATTCTAGAAATAAATGCAGCTACTCTGCACACCCAAAAGGACGAACTAGAGAGAGAATTCATAGTAGGAGCGGTATGCTATCATTTTAAGACAAAAAAACTTGTGAATAACATGTTTCCTAATTCACTGTCTATCTGTACGTTAGCTAAAATCACCATGAATAAGCACGACATGCACACAGCATGATTTCTGGTGAAACCACCGAGGAACTAGTTGTATCTTTTGTTGGCTGATTATTATAAAAGACTTCTCTAATGATTAAATACAAATGAGTAAACTGTGTTCCTTTGAAAGATGGCCTTGACATTCTAAAGTTCATCTTGTCATGAAAAAGCTGAGTGTATTCAGAGAAAATCATTAGTGATTATGGAGCTGCTGGGGGAAAAGGTTATGGGTATTTTAAAACTTAACTATTAAAGCATCTCTCAAGCCAGAAAAATGACCCTAATTTGGCATAATATGGGTGTGAATCCAGGACTTCTGTGTTTTAACTGAAATAATTTGTAGGTGGGATACTGTTTCAGACTCTGGTGACATGGACGACACAGAAAGTGGGGTGGTTTTGTGTTTGCTAGAGATTTCTGAAGACGGCTCTTTGTGGGAGAATTTCCATCAGGAGAGGAGACTCTAGCACTGACCAGGCCAGGGCTTGGCAGGCGTGTCCACAGAGGTCCCGAGAGGAGTTCGGCCAGGCTGTACGGCCATTGTCAGCCCAGCACGCTGCTGCAGGGAAGGGCTGCAGACGGTCGACAGACAGGTAGGATGGCTGGGTTTCAGTCAAACAATTTCCAGGAAGGGAGGTGTCCCTCGTGCGGGGGCTGGCCAGCCTCTCAGGGACACTATCACTTATTCCAAGTGTTCTGGAGATTGTGGTGTGGGTCCTTCTCACGTCTGCAAAGCAGTGAAATCAGTAAGATCACCGTCTCTGTGTGTCCATGGCTTATGAAACAGTGATCAACAACCAGACAGAGGTTCCCCCCACCCGCTTATATGATTATGTCTAGGTCCAAGATATTTTTTCTACGATAAGAAAGATATTAAAATGACTCAATATACCATCCATTTAAAAAGCGGAAAAGGAAATGAGAAACAGAAACAAAGAGGTGGGTGGTTCTGTAAGGATCACAGAAAAGGGGGCAATATCTTCATTTCCATGAGGTAGAAACTGTGTTTTGCCCTCCAGGAACTCTTCATTCTTCTTAAGATAATCATTTCCTACAATCTCTCTGGGGCGGAAACAGCGTTTCCTGTCTTAGTCCATGTGGTTCTACCAGAGTTTACTGAACTCGGTTGTAGAAATTAGTTATGTGACTAAAGCTTCCCAAACACGAGCGCTCCGTTCTCCCGACCACGGTGTCGGCCGATGAGACGGCATCCATGGCTGTGACAATTCTGTGGCTGTGACAATTCTGCTGGGTCTCCTGAGAAAGACGCGCCTGTTTCCACTAGACTTGAACCTAAGAAATCCTCAGGTGGAGAAGAGGTGCGGCCATCCTGTGATGATGGAGAAACAGCTCTTTCCGTTCCACACACTTACGTGTTCTAATGCATTACAGAAGATAAACGCACTCCTGGTCAGAAAGGTCAAAGTCTGACATATCCATGCTATGTTGCGACTCTCCAGAAGCGGATTTCTGACAAGACTGTGGGAGAGAGACAGCAAGGCAGGGAACAAAAAAGGAAATTGGAAATAGACAGTCCTGTCCGTCTGATGCAGGGGAGAAAGATCTATGGAATTCCCGGCATCCCATTTCCCAGAAGCGCCGGCTACTTCGTCGTCTCGTGTTATTGTACCTAAGTCGGGTATTAGTGACAGGGTCACGCCAACCACCGAAGGGGGCAAAGGAAACCAAATGTTTCGATGCTCATTTCATTTAGTTTAGTCACAACTAAATGCATGTTCACTGAGCAGAGGACACGTGTGCGCTCACGGAGTCAAATCCCGCTGCGGCCACTCACGCCGCGGACGGGAGCGAGGGCAGGTTGGAGTTGGTGCGCTGGAGAGATGGACGCTGTCATGTCCTCTGAAAACTGAGAGGAAGCTAGGGAGTGCTAATTAAAAAAAAAAAAAAAAAAAGCTTTTGCTTTAAATTTGCTAATATTATGCGCCTTGAAAACTTCCTGGCTCTGTTTGCTGCAACAGTCATGGACAAGCACACCCAGTAGTCCCTCCCCCCCACCCCAAGGAGAAG